GCTAGGAACGCTTTCTCCACAGTACATGGGATATTTTCTTCCTATTAAGTCTCTGTTTCACCTACCCCAAAATATTACTGAGATTTTCTAACTGGGATTTGCAAAACTTCCTGGTGAACATGCCCTGGATTCTCTCCTCCTGTTTAACCGCTTAGCTCCTACAGTCTGTATTTTTTTATTTTCCTGGAGGTAAGTATGATGTAATCTCTGCCAAGCTCTCACAGCTTTTCAGAAAGCAGCACTGAAAGCCTTGAAACTCCCAGAATCTCCTTTGTAAGCTCATACCATTGCAGAGTCCATGTCTTAAATGTAAGTGGGACATGGCGGAATCTAATTATGCAAAATCTTGCTATCCTGAGCTGAAATTTTGCCTGAATGAGGGACCTGATATTATTCAAAAAATGGTCAATCAGCCTGGAAAAATGCCCCTCAATTTCTGAATCTGCAATTTCCCATCCTTACCAAACCCACCACCACCTTGCCCACGAGATGTACGCAGAGGACCAGAGGGTGCTTAGAAATCACATCTCCTGCTGAGCCACTGGGAAACAAAGACGGCAGAGAAAGAGCAAAGTAAAGGACCCATGCTCTTCATGTGCCATCAAAAGCCTTTCATTTCCCAGGGTAGGAAACCTTCCCCATCTGCAATGCTGCAGAAAAGAAAGCAGCTGAGAAGGTGTCAAGCTGCAGTGTGGAAATCAGGGGCGAGAAGAGGTTTTGCTTTGCAGAGGAATGGCTACATCTCAGCTAGAGACCCGAGCATGTAATCCATGACCTTGTCTTGGATACTCTGCAGTTACCCAGAGGAACAAAGCTATGGAGAAGTCACAAAACATTCAGAAATTCCTGGGCATTGGTATGAGGGAAAGTAAAGGAAATGGGAGTTTATTTTCACTGCAAGAGGCAGGGGGGAGGCAGCGATCTAGTTGCCAACTTTGGAAATCATGGAAAGCCTTGAAATTCCTCCTAACAAACCTCTGCACATTAGGAAAACATGGCAGTGTAGAAGTGTGCAATGTGAATGCTGGCATTGCTTTCCCTGGAAGGAGAATAAACATATGGACCATATTACCAGGGAGATCTAAGAATAGGGGGAAAAAAATAAAAATAAAAAAAAGGTATGAACGAGATCAAGAGGGAATAAGTGAAAAAAACCCCAATCGTGGTGGGCCACCAGCAGTTCTCTTTCTCCCTTCTTCAGGGATAGGTTACACAGCCATACATAAATGTTTTGCTCAGCCTTTTAAAGGCATTTCAAAGCTTTTCTGCCCAGCTTGAATTTTAAGCACGATTTGCAACAGTGCTTCCCCCACGTGCATCCGAGGGAAGAAAATCTCTTGCCAGTGGATTTTGTGCCTAGTGCCAGATGAAAAGAGCAGCTCTTTGCAGGCTAAGGCTGGAGCTGTCCAGAAGAAGATCTGAAGACCAGGTTAGACCCTGTTGACTCTGACTTAGCATTGAAAATTTGGCTCAAGAGATGAAAGGGTAGCCAGCTCTTTAGATGTTTGCTTCACAGAGGAGAGCACCATCCAACACAACACACAGGGTTACAGACAGCTCTCTGGGAACCAAGCAATCAAGAAAAGCTTTTTCTGGATCAAGACACCCAGGAATCTGGAGAGCAGGGAAGAGATGAAAAGTAGCTGGTGGAAAAATATTTTCTGAGGAGCCTGGGTCTACAGCAGAGTCTGTCTTGGAAGTTCTGGCACCATCAACTACAAAACTTCATTCAAGAGGGATCCCCTGAAAGAAGAAGAACTGGGGCCAGTGTCATGGGATGCATGCAAAATGCATCTCTCCAGCAGCAGCAGTGCCTGCTGCGGGGACTGAGCCCGAGCTGCTGCAGGTTGGCTCTTCTCCAGAAACCAGCTGGCCAATTCAGAGCCTGCTAACAGCCTGCTGACATGGGAATAAGAAACTAATGAGGCTTTAACTCCTGTATGACTGCAGGCCAGGGTTTGGCTCAGAGCATAGCTTGGAGCCTGGCCAGGCTACATGGGAAATTGTCACCCACGTTCAGAGGAGGAGGAGGATGAGGGTGGCAGTGACCGTGTGCCAGGATGACACTGATCTGATGCTCTGGCATGGTGGCACTGCCCTGTTTAACAGGGCCCCATCACCAGCTCCAGGCATGGGCACCAGTATCACCCCCTTGAGAACCTTTTTACTGTGCCTGCATTAAAGCTGCAAGAGCAGCAGTGACATTTCCTATGTTTGCTCTTCATTTCTTTCTGGTTGTCCCAATTTACAGCATAGCAATGAAGTATGAAAGCGACAAAGGAAAAGCAACTACCATAGAGAGACCAGAAAAGTCCAACTTTTTCTCCACAGAAAGCAAAGCAAAATTTTGCTCATGAAGCAGCTCTTGGGTTTTTCTGCTGAGTGCAAAGAAAGAACTGGTGCAGTGTGACTGTTATGTGCTGTATCTTTACCATCAATCACGTTTTAATGAGAGTAAATTGAAATTCCAGGCACACATTAATAATGAATGGATGAATTAACTCTGAGGAACCCTCTGATGATGCTTTCATCGGGCTGTGATGTCTATAGGCTAACATCACATTAGGTTACTTTCTGTACATTTATAGGGAAAAGTTTGAACTAAAACATTTGCTCCGAGGCCCAGATCTGCAAAGGGACTTATGTGCCTGCATTTTGGTTTAACTGGAATTTTGGAAGTCACAAAATATGGTGACTCACACGAGCCACACATAGGCACCCAGGCATTTCAGCATTCAGAGGGACCAGAGTCATTGGAACAGGATGCCCAGGGCACTGGTGAAGTTACCATCCCTGAAGGTATTCAAAAGGCATGAAAATGTGGTGCTTAGGGACATGGTCCTGGCTTTTCTGGGTTAATGGTTGGACTCACTCATCATGGAGTCTTTTCCAGCCTAAGCAATTCTACAATTCCATGATTGCCATAAATGTTCCTGCAATGCCTCAATTTTCACCCCCAATTCTCAACAGGCACATTGCCCCTCAGGTCACACTGTTCCAGTGGTAGCTATCAGACTTGAAATAGCATCCCAAAACTTTTGTCTGAAATCTCAGAAAGGCCTGTTACAGCCCAGCTGGTGAGGGAAGTCCCAACTCAAAATCCAGAACAGATGCTCTGTCACCTTTACAGGACAGATGGATTCAGTGTTCACTTGGGTAGCAGAAGAGTTTGATCTTCAAAGAAAGCAACTCAAGGGCTCTAATGTCTCCCTCCTGTTGTGAATGATGCCAGGCTCCAGTAAGTCAGAGCAGACATCAGGAGCTTTGTTGTCAGGATAAAATGCCTAAAACCCATCAGCTGCATTGCCTGGAAGTGCAACCCACCATTAACATCACTTAAAAATCCAGTTTATCAAACCTTGGCTTCTCACTCTGGAAATTCCCAGCTCATTTCCCACCTTGGCAGCCAAAAAAGTGGCTGCTATAGCTGGTATAATCAGTTTGGTTGGATCTGCAAGTACCACAGCATAGGATGTTTACTCTGTTTGGCCAGGGGATGCTTGTTCATTTGAGGATTTTAGAAATACCTTCCTTTGCAAAGCCTGGGACACATTTTCTGTTTAAGTGCTGGGATTTTCCAGTGCAAAGTTTTTAAAGAGGTCTGTTACACAGAAAATAAGAGATTTTATGTAATCTTGGAGCTGGATGGCTTTGGTGGACTTGGGTCACATTTTAATTCCTAAAGAGCTGCTTGGCCAAGGCAACCAAAAACCATCCACTACACCCAAGTAGTTTACTTGAATACTCCTTTCTCCCAGTGTCTGTTGACGACACTGAGAAATTAATGTTATTGGGGGCTGAGGCAGGAGTAGGTTCTGATCTTTCTCAGCAGTGTTGGACCTCCATGTCTCCACCAGCCCCAGACACCATTGCAGAGTATCTCCTCTCTCTCAATGACAACATGACCGCTTCATGCTTCATTGCAGAGGGGTCTCTGCACTTTGCCACTGCTCCTTGGTGAGGTGCTCTGCAGAGCTGAGGTCCCTCCCCCGTACCCTCACCCTATCCCCTCTCAGCAAGATTCTGTCTGGAGACATCCCCCCTCCAGATGTATTTCTGATCAATACAAGGCTCCAAACCCACACATCCACCCTTTAGAGCACCTCCAGAACCAGAGGCACGTAACACCCAATTTCGTACACCATGCTGCCGACTCTCTTCAGCACTCTCTAGTTTTATGGGCAAAACCCTCCTTATGCTGGACAGACCAGTCACAGCATGTGGATCAGAAACAGCTCTTTCCTCCAACTCACAGCACAGCTGGAAGAAGAAGAGACCAGACTACTTCTCCATCTTATTTTCCCTTTATCATAAGCTTATCTTTTGGGTCCCTTCACCCCCATCCCAATATCTGCAATCCCTTCCTCCCCACCATATGGCTTTTTTCCAGCAGCCTGCCGACATGCCTCCTGAACTTATTTATAGCAGGGCTTCAGCCACCTCACACGTTAACCTGTTCCATATGTTTATTCTCCTTTGAGTAAAAAGGGGCTCTGCCAGCTCTCCTTCATCCCTGTGGCCTTTTATTTTCAGGTGGTGGCCCCAGCTGCTCAGCCCCTCACATGAGAGCTGGTTTTTTGCTCCAGTGAACAAAAGAGCAGCTCAGGAAGGGTCCGGGGTGATGACAGACATGCCAGCTCTGGACCAGCCCTAACAAAGACAGATACCCAGCAGAAGGCTGGCACACCCTCCACAAACTGCACAGCCACTGTTACATTCCAATAGGGTGGAAGTGGACTAGGTCACCTGTATCCAGAGGGATAGAGACTGTAAAACAGCACTCACCAAGGATTCATCCTTGGATTTTCCTTCACTGAATTCCCAGCACTGTTTGCAAACTCTGTTCTTAACTTTTCTCATCATCTGTTGGCTCATCCCTGTGGCTACTATGATCCAACCTCCCAAGCTGCTTTGAAGCCACTGCTCATTTCTGGTGCCCCACAGCTGGCCAGTGCCCCCAGCACACTTTCTGCCACCCCAAATCTCAGGGACCAGCTTACCAAAAGCAGTCAGGTTTGGGTGGCACTTCCTGCAGCTCCAAGCGCCTTAACCTTCAGATCCATCCAAAGTGAAACACGAGCAACACCCAGGCACCACCACTCAAATGCCTGGAAGAAAATTATGCAATGAGCTGAGCCACTGCTTTAAGGGAGATATTTTCCATGATGTGGGTGATAAAACATTGGCATAGATCCCCAAGAGATGTGGTGGACACCCCGTGCCTGGAAGTGTTCAACACTGGGCTGGACAGGGCTTTGAGAAGCCTGATCTAATGGAAGCTGTCCCTGCTCATTGCAGGGCAGTTGGGCAAGTTGACCTTTAAAGGCCTTTTCCAGCCCAAACCATTCTATGATTAGCCTAGCTCCCCATCTCACTTAACTTGCTAAGAGAGTTGGTTGCTCACATTTATCCCTCAGAGCTGGAGTGGCTGTGTGACAGGTGTAATTTGCACACAGGGCCCCATAAAAGAGCCACTGTAGTGGCACATCTGCCCTTCTCACCTTGTCTGCCAGCCCAGCTGCAGCCAGCCAGAGCTCTGCTCTGCAGAGCAGCCCCCAACGTGTCATAAATGTGTGGAATAATGGCTTTCCAGGGCTCTGCATGGAGCACTCTGGTTTTCTTCCTCCTGACTTGCAAGGAACATGTTGGTGGAACTCCTTGGCATTTGCATTCCTCATGCCCTAAAGGTAGCCTGTTGTAAACCCCACATCTCACAGCCAGATTCTCCCCCCTGACTGCTCCAGCAGCTGCTCTCTCTTTTTTTTTCTGTGACAGCTTTTGATCCTTTCAATGGACAACAGTGAAACACCCTGTGTTTTTTCAGTCTCATAGCATCCCTTCCCCATCGATTGCAGAGACCTTGAGAGCACACTGTGACCAATACCCTATTCTTCTCATTTTACAAAGAGAAATGTTTTCAGTAGTAAACTCCCTAAACTTGGTGTTTCTTATGTAAAATGAATGAAAAAACAAACTTCCCCCCCCCCAAAAAAAAAAACCCAAAAAAACAAGAAAAAAAATTATGAAAGTAATTTTTGGCAACCAGAAAGGATCAAAAGAGGGTTATGTTTCCCCTGCTTTCTTCCTTGCTCCTTTTTTCAGGTCAGCTTTAGACAGAAAAAAACACAGGTTGACAGTGATATCTCCAAGGCAATTTAAGGGTTCCCCCTAGGAAGCAGCAGGAGTCTCATTATTTTATATTCTCCCGGACAGAATACTAAATTTGGGGAAAAGCCTGCCCCAGCCATAGCAATAAGAAAAGAAACTTTCCAAATTGCTCTCCAGAGCCCTCGGATTCCTGTTTCATTACCTCGGCACGAGCAGTCCCAGGTGTCCTTTTTTAATCCCTGTTGATCAACAGGGGCAAGGCTCGGCACGTCTCTGGCCAAAGGCTCATTCAATATTATGAGCAAGCTTTCATATGAGCACGGGGAAGGGAAAAATACACACTCTGCAAATTCACTTCACCTTTTCTGCTGTAAAACATGCTGGATTTTAATGATTTCTATGTACCAGAAACCTTGGATTACCTTTAAAGCCTTTAGCTGTAATTTTGTTTAGTTTTTTTCCACTATGCAACAAATAAAACCAAAAAAAACCCAAAATAAACAAACAAAAACCCCAACCAAATAAAAAACACAAACAAACAAAACAAAAAAAATCCACAAAAACACAACCCTGCTTAAGACCAAACATAGACAGGATTGCCAAATCTCATTTCTCTGGAAAACTGCCGTGCCGGCAAGGGCAGAAGGAGATCGTTCAGATACAAAGAGGTGGTGGTGGGGAATCAGTTCCAAATACATCTGCAGATAAATATTTTACGCCCTTTGCGAATAGCTGGGTGGGCTCAGGCGAGCGTACAAGAACCCAGCGTTGTGTGAGGCTGCCACCTCCTGGAGTGGGCAGCCCTGACGCCAGGGCATCCTCCAGAGAATGCGCTGGATTCGGTATTTTAACCCAGAAATAATCACCTCACAGGGAACGTGAACTGATGTCACCATCTGCAGCTTTACAGTGAGTGGGGAGGTTTGCTAAGAAGTTGGTTTGGAGTTTAAACATGCGGGTGGATGTGCCTGTTAGCACCTGAAAAAGTGGTACAGAGAGCTGGGGAGGCAGCATTTTATCGGGAAAGCCACATATTTCCCCATTTATTGCTGCTCCTGCTCTTTTATTGCAACGATGTTTCCTCCTGTTCTGGCTCCACCAGCCCACAATCAGTGACATCTGCTGTGTCCCGTCTCCTGGAACCACCCGATGGCACTGCAGAGGTGGACACAGAGTCTGATGGATTTTGCTGGGTGAGCAGTGGTCTGTGAGAGGGGAGAGATGTGAGAGCTGCCCCACCACCCACTGTGACTGCACAGCTCATGGCATCTTCTGGGGGCTCATACCCCATCTACACGCATGAGAACAGCTCTGTGTGTGAGCAGGGATCGACTGCAACCATTGTTTATGGGGATGGGACAGGTCTGGGTGCTCTTGACATGGTCTTGGTCGATGGACAAGTTTTGGGTCTGGGGATGGTGGTGTTACCCTTGGCAGAGGGCAGGCTGGACACTGATGGGTTCTAGGAGCATAATGGTATTGGTTTACTGCAGGAGAAAAAGTCCCCTGCTCTGCACAAGAACAAATATTAAAGGGAAGCAGCCCAAGCTCAAAACCAGAAGAGGAAGGTTTTCTCAAGTAGACTCCCTCCTGTTTGTCACAGCACGTTGCCTTACCACACACTGGACACAAAGGTGGCAAAAGCCTATGTCAGGACATAAAAGCAACCAGATACCTTAATGCTAAAGCTAGAAAAACTCACAGGCCCCAGGTGTCCTAATAAAGTGGGGAAAAGCCCAAGTTCCTCACTCATAGGCTGATGGCTGATGCCAGGCTCTCTTGCACAGAGAGAACCTGAATGGGATGCTGCAAGGAGTCAACCTGGAAGTGACAGCATGAAATGGCCCCCACACCCTGCAAAGTTTCTGCCTTCTTCCAAGGAGTTTTACTTACCAGGAGCAAACCCCCATAATCACTCTGTAACTGCTAGCAGCTCTCTGGGTTTCAGAGACAGGAATTAAAAACAAATTAGAGGTAATGATCTCTTAAATTGCTTCTGAATCTACTCCGTGGCTGAGAATTTTGGTAGATTTGGACAATCAAATCAAGCAGGACACAGAATATGCAGAAGGGTGACATGGAGTTTAGGAATATTTTCAAGCTTCCCATTAAATATTAGATGTGATGCAACAGCCCCTTCTTATTGAAGACAGTTGTAAGAAACTCAATGAAAGCCAAAGCCAAGAACCTGACTCATCCCGGAGAAAGGCTGTTTCCCCCATGTGAACTGTGTCAGCAGAGCATTAATTGGCTTCTGCTGTTAGTTATTTCTTCTGTTCTTCTAGAACAGCTATATCTAGCTATTCTTCTATTTTTAGTTACTCCAGACCTAAACGGGGACAGAGGATCTGCAGATAGAGAGACGGGTGCTGCACACTGTCATAGCATGGATGGGGCTGTGTTTGGCAGTTCAGATAAATGGACACCCTGCACAAAAACACCATGATCCCAGTTTTGAATGTCAAAGACAAGGTGGTGGGGCACATCTTGCTGTTAACAAATGGCTGAAGCTTATCTATATAAATTCATTTACTAATCAAAATCAACACAGTTTATGTGTTTTGGAAGGTGAAAGCAACAGAAGTCAGTATTTAGAAGCAGGACAGGATGAACCCTAAGCCACTTAGCACAAACTTGTTTGCAATGTCCTACTAATCCCCTCCTATCCTGTCTTCATTACCCTCGTGTACACTGCACCTGTACAACTGATAACGCAGCAGTGTTTGGGAAGCAGATTTCAGACAGCCCCCTTCCCCACCAAGGGACCCCATCCAGCACTGTTTTAAAGCAGGTTTTGTATTTCATTGGAAGGTTTTTTTAATCCAAGCTTTTAGGGGAATAAAGAAAGCCAACCCCTGGGAAATGTGGTCTTTGCCAACAGCAGTCACCTCTGCTTGGAGCCTGGAATGTCCTGGTCTCAGCCAAGCACTGTCCCCATGCACAGAAAACAGTTTTTCCAGGTCATCCCCAATGGCAGCACTTCTGGACACTTCTATGAGTGGATTTACCCTTCTGAAAATCATACCACAAGCAGAGAAGCTTGTGAACAGGGCTGGGAGCAGGGATGGGATGCTTCATATGTTAAGGTATCCTACAGATGTTCCCCTCAGCATTTGAGAGGTCTTTGAACAATGTCCTTTATAGGATGTTTTAACTTGGCCAGCCTTAAGCAGTCAGATAGATGGACTTAGAGCATTCCTGTATGTAGGTCCCTTTCCAACTGAAATATTCTATTTTATTCTGTGTCACCCTGCAGCACCCAGGAATGTCTGGGGAATACAGCTCCAGGGTCGTGCCCAAAAATGCCCTGTGAAGCCCATGGCCATCTTGGATATAATCTGGCCACACACCTGTAAAATTCAGATGTGTTTCTGTGCAAGGTCAGCCCTATGGATGAGCCCCAGGGCTTGTGAAGGGTAACAATGATCTCACACTCCTCCTTGCTTTGCTAGTCCCTTTTGCCCAGTCGAGGTGGGAACAAAGATTCCTAACAGTTTCTCATGTGGAAAAGAGGGCTGTAGCATCCTGTTATAATCTCACCAGTCTCCTTTATTTTCACTAACAAAAACAGTGATTTTAAGGCTTACTTTTAATGGAGAATAAGCAACATGTTTCTTCTTTTTGCTAGGCAAATAATCTGGGAAAAACACCACTTGACTTAAGCCCCTCCAACCTGCCTTGTTAAGCATTCAGACCTGATTTAAAGTATCTTGTTTTAACAAGGAAAAGCAACATGATTTGGTTATCAGACTCCCTGTCTCCCAGGCACACCTTGAGGCATTCTTAGGCCAAAAGCTGCACCAGACCTTGCTCCAGACAGGTGACTCAATTCCTGCTGTAGCCCACGAGGTTAAGGTGCCCTCTCAACAAAACTGCACATAAACTGCCACATAAGCAAGGCCAGAGTAAAGAAAAGCAGATTATCTCCAGGAGTTAATCTTCCCATTTTCCTCTATGAAAATTAATCTTTCCACTCAATGGAACTGGGGCATGAGGCCTCTGTGCTCCCCACAGTCTGGGCAAAGATCTTGTGCATCCCATCCTCTGGCAGGAGTGTGACACTTTCCCTGGGCAGGCCAGGATTAATATAAAGCAGTTAACTTAACTAGCAACATATGTCTGCCTCTTTTTTCCCACTGCCATTTAATCTCTCTTATCCACTGACCATGCAAGCCTCCTATAATCACTGCAGAGTAATTATGTGATTATTCCAGCCCTCTAAATTACAGCTGCAGCCTGGACCCCAGCAATTGTGGGTGATGCAGCAAGACTGACTTTCTCAACTGTTAGTTAATTACAATTAGACAGAACAACAAAAAAAAAGCAACAACCCCCAAAAATGAATCACACAATAATAAAAACTAACCTACACAATAATAATAATAATAA